TACCGCCAAACGGAAATAGTTTATTTTTTTTAATGCAAAATTTACGATGATTTTCGACATTAGGCACATAAGGTAGGTGTGAAGGGACAGCAGTTGGCCTAATCCAATTTTTGTGTAAAAACGCATGATCGCACCGGCTGCCTGGTGCGTTTCAGCCTGGTTTTTTTTTTTTGATGCAATACTTACGATGATTTACGTTAGAGAGCGCGCTGTCTGTATGGAGAGCGAAAATAGTTCCTTCAACCTGCTTTAAATCACTTGAAACAATCATTTCTGAATGAATTACAAACCTCAACATAATATCAGAAGTTTAAAAGTCTAAAGGGTTGTTGTGTTACTCTGCCATTGGGTTAATCGAAAGAGCTTGCAGCCACAAGGGAAACAGCAAAAATTAAAATCTCAAAAACCATGAAATTTTCAGGAATGCGAAAGACCTGAGCCACAGTCGAAATGAACTTTCCCAAAAATTCAAGATTATTGGATTGGCACAGTATTCAAGAAATTATTTTACTTGTAGCAGAAAAAAAACTTTTTTTATTGTCAGTCAGTATTCTTTGCTGGCAAAAAAAGCAGTCCTGACGGAATTGTTTGACAGACCACTGACAAATACTTTCTATTTGAATGGGCCGGTGGTCTTTTGCCCTAAGCCACAGCGAGGGAACAAACAATAGCACACGCTACACATGAAGAGGAGAACCTCTCCAAATTGTACGCTATACTGTTCGGTATCAGCGTGCCTCTCCCCGTCTTTGATGCCATACTGTTATCCGACGACATCTCAGGGCGACGTTCCGGGAAGCTGTTGATCGGAGGGCGCGCAAAGGACGCGGCGTCCCGGAGAATGAGCTCTGACCTTTCATGGGAGTCCTTTTGTGTGTGACTTTTAGAGCATCCCTCCTATTCCAGCAAAACGATTTGTCACGGGGTGACTAGATTCGGGCCCACTCTTTGCTATCAACTTGTTTTCCGGGCTGCAACGTTTGGCCCCGCTCATTGTTCGTCGACCAGAATTTCTTCCGCAACATCGACTATCTCCACTACTCATACGTATAAATACACACGAGCGACCCCTCTACAGTACGCATTTTTACTGCACTTCATGCAGATTTAAAAACGAGAGGTTATGTGTGTATTCATTTTTTTGTCACCCATATGCAACTCGGCAACCGCAGAAACTAGGAAGCTGGGATTACACAAGGAAGTTCCCGGTCCACGTGCCACAAAGACAGCTTAAAATCAATTTTACGCGCGGGTATCACGTACAGATGCCTAAAAAGCATGTGAATTTTTTGACGCATTTATGAGCAAAAGGTTTCAAATCCAGCTATCGACAAGCCTATGTCATGCCTGCGGAGACGTTAGATTTGAAATTCAGACACTGCTGGCGAAATGCTAGCTCGAGAATCAGATTGAGTACCCCGTCTTCACGGGAATATTTGTTGTCTATATGCGGACACATAGACGTTAAACAAGCGCTGGCACAAGCCGAAGTCTCGTGTGACCACACGAGGAAGTATTATTTCGGGTGCATAGTCTACCATTCTTGCCTTCGCTAAAATATGAAGCCGCTAGAACGGTATGGTACTTGGTAGAAAATTTTTGTGCTTCTGCCTTCTGCAATGACAGAGAATAAATTTTACGCATCATCAGTTTGATTTTCGCCTGTTGTTTCATTCGTTGCTTCTCACGCAAACGATTTTAGCGACTACCTCCTTCCTCCTTTTCCCCTCTCCCGGTGACAGAAGCCCTTCCCAGAACACCACTGGAAAAACGGGTTGCTGGTTATGCCGCAAAAAAAGAATAGCCAAAGCGGAGACGTACAGTAGCGGCCGATGTGGGAGGTATAGGTTGGACGGGGAAGTAGTCGTTTTCTGGATGCAACTACAGTGGGCAGGTAAAGTACATGGAGGAAGTGAGTGATAAACAGCAGAGAAATTAGTGATTTTTAACGGTGGGATAGTCGAACTGTAGGTAGTCAATTGCGCAGTGGCTCGCGGATGAAGATTTGAAAACGAAATGAAATGTTTCGAAATGTGTCTGTCTGCGGGGCAAAGGCTGGCGCAACCGTGCTGCGGGTGCCAGCCAGTTGTGGAATCGGTTTTTAAAGGGGTCCGTATGCCACATACTAATGATGAGCGAAAATGGACAATGATCGGATGGACAGATAGGTGGCGAGCACATGGATGGGTCAGTGAGTGAGCCATCAACGACCCCTTTCCCGACCATCCACTTCAAACATTACATAGTGGAGGGCGCACCAACTCTGGTTCGCAATTTGCATCATTAAAAATTTTTTTTTTTTTTCCAAAAACAACAAGATGAATCATCCGGGAAATAAATAAGCCGAAGTT